ACTGTCAAAAAGAAAATTCTGTGGGATGGTGCGTGTATATGTACAGCTGGTATAGGTTCTAGGACCACCCACAGATACCAAAATCCTGGGGTGTTTAAGTCCCTTAGTCTTCATATCCAATGCAGAATTCCACATTGGGAGTTCAGTTCATTCCCCCATCCCTGCCTTTTTATTTTTATTTTTAAATATATTTTTATTGATTTTTTACAGAGAGAAAGGGAGAGGGATAGAGAGCTAGAAATATCAATGAGAGAGAAACATCGATCAGCTGCCTCCTGCACACCCCCCACTGGGGATGTACATGCCCTTGACCAGAATTGAACCTAGGACCCTTCAGTCCACAGGCTGAGATTCTATCCACTGAGCCAAACCGGCTAGGGCCATCTCTGCCTTTCTATAGGCACCTCACTTGCTCTGGTAAGGGCATCTCTTCATGCCAGTCTTCTCAGCCAACCTAGATGTCCCAGCCATCTGCTGGGGGTGGGGGAGATACTCCCCCTGCTGAGTACTGGTGGCATCTTACCACACTAGACTGTTAATTGAGGGGAAAGTTACACAAATTTTTATAGCAGAAGGAACTTGAGATTTACTGTCCAGTTGCCCTATTTTGTATCTGCCCTACCCAACACAGTTGTTTGGCTACCAAGCTGAGCTGCACAGGCGAGAACATTTTCCTTGAAAGTTCTATGGCCGTGGTTGGCAAACTGCGGCTTGTGAGCCACATGTGCTCTTTGGCCCCTTGAGTGTGGCTCTTCCACAAAATACCATGTGCGGGCGCGCACGTACAGTGTGATTGAAACTTCGTGGCCCACGCGCAGAAGTCGGTTTTCGGCCTGGGCGAATCTATTTTGAAGAAGTACTGTTGATATTTAGCTCTGTTGACTAATGAGTTTGCCGACCACTATGGGATAGCACTGATACATAGGGAATAAATACAAATACAGTCATGCACCACCTAACAGTGGAGATATGCTCTGAGAAATGCGTTGGTAGGTGTTTTCATTGTGCAAACTGTACTTGACACAAACCTAGGTGGTACAGCCCACTACACAGCCTGTTGTGTAGGGAAGGAAAAATAGTTTTTCCTCTACCTTCTGGGTTCTTGGCTGACACATCGCCATAATAAAAGAATGACAGGAGGAAAAATAAATGTATTCCTGTATATAAGGAAGAGGCCCAGGAAAACAGTAATTCATCAAAATGGTTGTGAAGATGCTTAGCATGGCACCTAATTGGTGCTCAATCAACCCCACTAAGTTGATCCTATAAAATTCTGTTGCTTATGAGCTAGTCCTTATAATACAGTTGAAGCCAACCTTGGATACCTTCTTCAGCTAAAGATCGAAGACACGGGTTTGGTGGTGGTGTGGGAGGGGGGGGGTCAGTTATAGATCACCAGGAAAAGCACAGTGAACAAGGGTAAGGGTGTTAAGTCCTTGTCTCCATTGAGTTTCCAGGTAAGGTCACCCCCTCTTCCTGGTCCTTACCAATGGAGATTTCCAATTTACAAAAGTAAATGTCCTACAGAGGGTAACCTCTACTTGGTTTTCAGAGCTTCTCCCGTGTCTGCTATTTCTTTAACCAGCCTAAAACAATCCTCATGCCAAATGGGCATATTGTGAGGTGGAAAATCCATTCCCCTACAGCTCCTAGGCTGCAAACCTATACAGCACATTACTGTACTGAAGACTGTAGGCAATTCTAACAGTGGTATTTGAGGAATGCATTGCACGGTATTACAGATGAGAAAATGAGCCCAGTGGCAAAAGGCAGCTCAGCAAGCTTTTTGCATGGGAAATGGAGTTCACTTGGGTTAACTTCAGTTGACTGGCACTAACCTAACGCTCCCAAGGAAGATAGCAGTATCTCCCTCCTTTGTTTTTTTGTTAATCCTCACCAGAGGATATTTTCCCACTGATTTTTAGAGAGTGGGAGAGGAGGGGATTGTCTCTTGCATGCTTCCCTATGGGCCAGGGATTGAGCCTGCAACGAGATGTATGCCTTGAGCATGCATGCCTTGAGTGGAATCGAACCGGGGGCCCTTCAGTCACAGGGCAACGCTCTATCCACTGAGTAATCCAACTAGCCTCCACCTTTCCCTTTAAAAAAAAAGAATGTATTGATTTCAGAGAGGAAGGGGGAGAGAGAGTAACATCAATGATGAGAGAATCATTGATCAGCTGCCTCCTGCACACCCCACTCTGGGGATCACAGACATGTGCCCGGACTGGGAATTGAATCGTGACCTCCTGATTCATAGGTTGATGCTCAACCACTGAGCGACACCAGCCAAACCTCTGCTCTTCCCTGTTTGAGCCACGTGATTTTGCAGCTCTAAAAGCAGCTTACAACAGGCAAACTATATTCCTGAGGCTTCAGAGCTGGCCTATGAAGCAAATATAATTGGGCAGGCAGGAGGAATGGAATTTAGGGGCAGGGAGCAGGAGGGACTAAGGCAAGCCTGGTGCCCATAGTTTTCCCACAGGATCCAGAGATACCCCCCTCACTCCACCTCGTTGAGGCTCCTGGCTGCCTCCCAGAGGCACAGCTGGGATGCATCTGGAGGAGCTGAAGGCACTTGCCTCTTTCCTTGCGCCAGGCCTTAGAGTAGACAGCCTTTTCTCCCTCCCTGACGCCTCCTCAAATACCGGGAATTCCGGCGCTGCTGGGAGCCCAAGTCAGGCTGTGAACTTTCCTTCAGCTGGGAATGTGCAGCTGGGGGTGGCTGGGAATGTGCAACTGGGGCTGAGAGGAGGGCCAGCCTCTGTCCTGACCTTGGGGAGGCTGCAGCGGAGCAGGCCCAGGCCCTGGTGTAGGGCATGGTTACTGCTCAACTGAATAGAAGCCAGCAGCTAACATTTATTAAGCCAGGCCTTGTCCTGGCTACCTTATTACCTAGGACCCTTGGAGTACTGGGCTGTGTCTCAAGTTGGGGGTGGGGAAAGTGCTCCTTATTGTGCCCCCAGTGGCAAAAACAGTGTCTGGCACAGGATAGGTACTCAAGAGTATGGGCACCGTTGGGCTGCAGGAAATGGAGTCCCAGCTCTGCCCCTTTCCTGTGTGACTGGGCAAGTTCCTTATCCAATCTGTCTTATTATCCTCATCTCTAAAGTGAGGATTAAAGTCCTCACTTGCCTTTTAGGGCTTTTGTGAGGACTCACAGTGATTGAAGTGACTAATGCCCATGGTATGCCATTAGGATTCGATAAATCTCAGCCTTTTTTGCTGTTGTTAGTTGACTGCTGAAACTTCAGATTCCTAGGCTCCCGTCCTGGAGGTTGTGATTCTATAGTCTGGGACTAGATCCTGGGACATCTGTGATTTGAACAATGTGCTGTGAGTCAGAGGCTCAAACACACTTGGGAATTGAAGATAACTTCACTGAATCTTTTTTGTTGTTGTTAATCCTCACCTGTGGTTATTTTTTCCATCTTTATTTTTTTGTTTATTTATTTATTTTTTATTTTTTCCATCTTTAGAAAGAGTGGAAGGGAGGGAAAGGAGGAGGGGAGAAGAGAAACATCAATTAATTGGTTGTCTCCCTTATGCACCCCAACTGGGACCAGGGATCCGGGGATCGAACCTGCAATCCAGTTATGTGCCCTTGACCAGGAATCGAACCTGTGATCCTTCAGTGGGCAGGCTGATACTCTTACCAGTGGATCACACTGGCCAGGGCTCCTTCACTGAATCTTTACAGTGACCCTACAAGACCCCTACAAGATGGGATACTGTCGTCCCCATTATACATGAGAAAACCCACGCTCAGAGAGAGATTACATTGACTCTGGTGCCTCAGAAAATTCCAAGAAAGGTTAAATAAGCTGTGTAAAAGCACAAGAGGGTAAATGTTTAATTAAAAAAGCTAATGTTACCAAAGAAATTGATTAGGTTATGCTTCTCACAGGGCATGCTGCAGCTAGGAGGGCATAAAGGATCCTTTGGCCCTGGACAGGTAGCTCAGTTGGTTAGAATGCTGTCTCCATAGGCCAAGGTTGCAGGTTCGATCCCCAGCAGGGCACATACAAGAATCAACCAATTAATGCATAAATAAGTGGAACAACAAATTGATGTTTCACTCTCTCTTCCCCTTCCTCTCTAAAATCAATAATTTAAAAAAACATTTTTTTGGAAAATGCCTTTGTCTCTATAACCTGAATTTTTGGGGGGAGAGGGGGCACACGAAGGCACTGTAGAGGTCTCAAACTAGAGAAGGGGGAAAAGGGGTCTGATGATGTGTGGGTGAGCACAAGAACCAGAATAGTCATGAAGGTGGGAGTGTTTGCCAGGATTGGACAGATGGGGGACAAATTTTCTCAGAATCTCAAACCTGATCCAATTTGGTGTTAGCATGGAACTGTCTTTGAAGTTCTGTAGTACCAAGACACAGCAGAATCCAATGAAGGATGGATAGTGGTCAAGATGGTTGAGGAGCTGGTTATGTGAATAAGATGTATGGCTGAACAGATAGAGATGGAAATATGGAGAGTTACATGGATGGAGAGGGTTGCGTGGAAAAGATGAACAGGTGGGATGACAGACGGATCAATGGATTAATGGAAGAATGAACGCTAGATGGGTGGGTAGGATGATGGATGAATAGAGATGGTTGAATAAGTCAAGGCATATGGGTGGGATGATGGATTGAAAGATGGGTGAAATAGATGGACAGACAGCTGCATGGAGAGATGTAAAGGTGGCCGAGCAGATGAGATAAGTGGGTGATGATGGGACACACGGGCTGGATAAACTGCTAAGGGAATGAATTTGTACTTGGAACAAAGCTTCTTAGCTTTTCTGGATGGGCATAAAGCAGTTCATAAACCCTGTGAAATCACACACCAAATTGAAATGGGTCCAGGTTCCAGTAATTCTTGAAAGAGTTTGAGATTTCCCAAATTTTCAGAACCACTGAATTGTACTGTGACAGACCTTCCCACTCATCGTCTTCTGTTATCCCCCACTATCTCCAGAACTGGAAATGAGACATACTGTCACAATATTAATTAACAAAATATTAATGAAATCCCCATCCCCATCCCTGCTGAGTTAATCAAGGTAAGTAATAAGGACCACTTGCCAAAGCAGACCTAGAAGTTGGAAAGCTGCAGCAATTTTAGACTTGTCTTCAGTGTCTGGACTTCTGGGTGAAGTTCTGAGAGTCTGTGGCATTTGGTTGAAGTCCTTGCTTTTTAAGAAGCCCGATATCCTGGCTCACATGTGGAAAGGGGCATCAGGAGCCCCCTGGGCTCTGCGAAAGCCCGCAGATTCCTGGGTGGAAGCTAATAGAGCAGGGTGGTTCAACCTGACCTGGGCCTTGGCTGGCCGTAGCCGCCCGCCACCCCCGACATGGATGTTGACTGTGGTGGCATAGCTGAGCCTCCTGGCTGGAGGTGGTGGGGGCTGGGGCTGGGGCGGCGGTGAAGGTGCCCGTGATGTGGGGGCAGAAGAGGACCAGGAACCCCGGAAAGCTTGGGGGGCCTCTCCCCCAGGTCCCTGCCTCCGAGCTAGGCTCTGGCTGATGTATGAGGCTGCCAGGTATCTTGAGAGAGCAGCTGCGTTGGGACCCAGGAGCTGACGGGTTGGGGGTGAGGGACTGTGGGGTGGAGTCAAGTCTGAAGACTCTGACCTGGCAACGGGAGAGACAGGGTGGCCTTCTGGTTTTGACAAAGCCACAGTGGTCTGAACTGGGGTGGGTGACAGGCCCTGAATGTCCCATGAGCTTCCTTGCTCAGGCAGAGGAGTGGCAGCTGTAAAATGGATGTCTGTGAGGCTCTTCTGCTCCAACAAAGGTGTAGGTTTTGGGACCTGAAGGTCTGTGAGGCTTTGCTCCTGGAGCAAAGGTACAGCAGTGGCAGCCTGGATGTCGGGCAGGTCTCCCTGCTTGGGCAAAGGTGCGAATGCTTGGACCCGTGTGTCCATGAGGCCTTGTGGCTGGGGCACGGCTATGGCAGCTGGAGCCTGAATGTCTGGGAGATCCTGGGGCAAAGACAATGGAGCACTGGCTGGGATCTGATGGTCTAGGTGGCTTCCATATACAGGCAAAGGTGAGGTACCCAGAACCTGAATGTCTGGGAGGTCAGGTTCCAAGGGCAGTGGGGTGTTGGCGGGGATCTGATGGTCCAGGCTGCTTTCATGCAGAAGCAAAGGGTCAGCGGCTTGGCTGCAGGCAGTGGCTGGGGACCGAACATCCCTGAAACCTCCCTGCTTAGTTAATGGGGTGCTGGCTGGACTTTGGCAGTCTCGGCGGTCTTCTTGCTTGGGCATAGGAGAGGTGGCTAAACCTGTGACACGAGAACAACTTCCCTGCTTCAGCAAAGCTGGGGTGGTTGGAACTTGGATGTCCATCTGACATTCTTGCTGAGGGAAAAAGGTGGTAGCCGGAAGCTGTATATCCCTGTGGCCTCTATGCGCAGGCAAAGGAGTGGTCGTTGAAATGTGCATTTCCGGGTGGCCTTCTTGATCAGGTAGAGATGTAATAGCTGGGACCTGGACATCCGGGCCTTCCTGCTTGGGAAAAGGTGTGGTGGCTGGAATCTGGACGTTCCAGAGGCCTTGCTCAGGCAAAGTGGTAGCATCTGGAATCCGGATGCCCCTATGGTCTTGCTCAGGCAAACTGGAAACATCTAGACCCTGGCCACCCAGGCTGCCTCCCTGCTTAGACAGGGGTGCAGCAGCTTGAACCTGGGCAGCAGGGCCCAGGGGGACAGATTCCTGGGCCAAAGTCAGCGGGAAGGCCAGTTCACATACCAACACATGTCCAAATGCAGGCAGGGGCCCTGTATCCAAAGAAAGGAGGACTGAGTCAGGTATTGGCATTCCAGCATGGGCTACCTCTGCCAACCACATACCCGGACCTCACCTGGCTCGGCCTGCTCATGGGGCAGGCAGGGGGACAGTTGGAGTTGGGCCAGAGCCCGTGGCCTGCGGCGGGGAGCATTGGCCGATGCCCGAGTCTCAGCCCGCTGCATCTGCTGGATCCGCTCACTGTAAAGCCGGGCCAACTCTCGAACTCGGGATGCGGCCCGCTCTGTATTGGGGGCTCCAGCCTTTCCACTCCCACTCCCTCCTCGCAGATCTGAATCTTCCAGAATCAGCAGCGGTTCTGGGAAACCTGGCCGGGCCAAATGCCCCTGCTCCAGAGCCTGCCAGGCACTCCGGATTTCTGAGCAAGAGCGGAATCCCAGCTCATCCTGATCTTGGGTACCATCCTGGGGCTGGAAATCTGGAAATGATACCCCATCCTCCTCCTCCCTTGCCTGCCCTGCCCTGCCGTCTGAGGAGGGCTCTCCCAGTTTCCCGGCACGGTCTTCAGAGAACAGTTCTCTCCTGGTGGCTAGAGCCTCATCTGGCTCCTGCAGAGGGCCATGCAGCCAAGAGTCACAGGGAAGGGTGGGAGGGCTGGAGAGACCAGGAATGTCGGGGACACTAGGTATGACTGGAAGGCAGGGCATTTCAAAAACACTGGAAATGTCAGAGAGACTGGGAAGGCAGGGAATTGGAGGAATTTCAGAAAGGCTAGACATTTCAGGGAGGGTGGACACGGCAGGATTTTTGGTAAGGCCAGGAATGTCGGGAACTTCAGCTGCACCGGAGCCTTCGAGTCCCTCTAGGACATGGAGTGGGGAAGGGCCCCGTTCGTCCATCTCCAGCTCTTCGTCCTCCTCTTCTGAAGAGTCCCGGCTGGGCAGGGCTGGGAATGTGAGACTTTCACCATCACGGGGCACTTGGGAGTCTCCAGGGAACTTGGGAATGTCGTGGGGAGGTGGCTGTAGTGGGCACTGGGGAAGAGACCAACAGTATCAAGGTGCTTTGGCTGCTCCGGTGCCCGGTCTGTGCCAGCCCAAGCGAGAGCCCCAAGGACACGGTGACGGGATGCCCAGCTCACCCCTGCATCTCGGAGGCCTCTTTGGTTCAGCAGTTCCAGGATTTCTTCAGTGATTGAGGTCCCAGAGGGGTCCAGCGTGGGGGGTCCAGTGTCTTCCAAGTCCTCAGCAGGTCCAGAAGCTGGACCCGATTGCTGAGGCTCTAAAGCGGGGTAGAGCTCCCCCTCACTGCCAGCATGCTATGAGGAAGGAAAGAATGGAGGGCAAGCACCCAGAGCTGTCAGCACCCCTTCTTCCCAGTCCCCTTCTTATTCAAACCCAGGAGTTGATAACTCAAGCTCCCTCCTCCATCAGATTCTTGTTCTCGGTCCCCAGACTCCATCCCAGGAGATTTCTTACCTTGAGTCTAGGCTTAGCTGGGAAAGAAGAAATGAGAAAAAAAGTGAGATGTAGGAATAAGTTTACTCCTTATAATTGATGAGTTGCACTATCACCCCTCCCCCATAAACACTGGGCATCCCATGGGAAGAGACAGACAGACAGACAGGGCTGGACCTGGCTGGGCTGGGCAGGCCCTTACCATTCTGTGGAAACATGACATAAGGGTCCTTCACTGGCTCTGGGGAGAGGACACACTGATGTCAGGGGCCCAGCTCCCACCCCGATCCCTAGTTAACCTTTCAGTGGAATCAACTCACCAGACTGTCTACGGCCATGGCGGGCAGTGGAGGGGCCTGGAGACGGAGCTGTGGGAGAGGCAGATTAGAACCTCGTTATGAGCCCAACCCCAGGCTTCTAGGAGAGGAAGGCCTGGGGGTACGTACATTCCTGAGTCCTGGGGGAGAAGGGGGTGGAACTCTTCTTTACCTGTGTTCCTTCGTCCAGGGGTGAAACTTCTAGCATCTCGAGGTCGGGGAGACCCAAGTAGGGGGATCACAGGCTCTGGGATAGGCTTACTTTTAGGAGCACCTGTGGGGAGAGATTTGGGGCTAAGAATCTACTCTTTCTTGGAAGTAATCCCTCTACTTCCATACCTACCAACCCAAGGCCCCAACTCACAGTGCAGACTGTTTTCAAGAAGAACTTGTTTTGCCTGAAAGACACAAGGATGAGGGTTGAGGAGCCGGTCTCTTGAGCACCTGAGTCATAGTCCCATTAGTGAGTCCTGCTACATGGCAGGCACATTACATGACTGATGACAATTATTCCTCACCACAACCCTATGAGGTTGGTGCTATTATTCTTCCTGGTGAGGAAACTGAGGTCAGAGAGGTTGATCAGAGTCACCAAGCCGGGACAGTGGAGCTGAAATTCAAACCCAGGCAGCCTATCTGCAATTTAACCGCCACGTTTTCAGAGAGTCCCCTGCACTCAGTGTCCTCCAGAACTACTGGGGGCCAGAGTCTCTGGCCCTCTGACAGCCCCATCTGTGGCAGGAGAGGTACCTTGGCTGGGATAGAGGCAGGGTGGTTCTCAAAGAAGAGACGCTGGAGACAGTGAATCCACAGTCTCTTCTCTTCTTGGTTCTTGGCCTGGCGGTAGGTGGGGGTGGAGTGGGAAGTCAGGTGCGAGGTCTATGAGCTGGAGGGAACCCTGCCCACCCAGCCCCATTCTCCTCACCTGAAGCAGGTGCCTGTGCTTGGGAATGGTCAAATCGGCCACCTTGAACCCTAGAGGGTCACGAGGACTCTCGCTCACACTCAGGTTGCAGCACTGAATAGGCGAGCAGAGAGGGTGGCAGGCTCAGAGCCCTTGGACTCAACAATGTGGCCCTTGCATTTGGGTTCTTACCCCCTAGAAATATGTGCCCTGTATGGTTGTATGGGGTCCCCCTTCCCGTTGATCCTCTCTTCCAGGCTGGGCTCTGCTCTCCCTCACCAGCCCTCCCTACCCTCATCTGAATCAAGACGTGCTTCCCCCGTGGACACTTGTCTGGTGAGCACATCCAGGTCCTCCCCCTCCGTTCCGCCGGCCTCACCATCCTTATTACACCCTCAGACTCGAGAAAACGGGGCCCTGGTTGTCCCTCCTTCCAGACCCTGCCCCTGGCCACCCCTTTAGAGATACAGGTATCGGTACATAGAATATAGTTTGCAGGTAACTCACAAAGATGTGACCCTTGTAGATGTATTCTGGCCCCCGGCGTTTGGCCACGAGCAGCATCCGTGAGAATAGAAAGAGCAGCCGCTCACCCCCTCGAAGTCGGGGGCCACCCCCTCCGCCACCTCGGAATGAGCCTTCCAGCACCAGCTCCCCGAAAGCACTGAGCTCCGGGCCGGTCCAGCCGCCCAGCTGCCGCTGCACTTCCTGCCAGGACCCCACCAGGTACACGGGACACAGAAACATCACGGGAGGCACACACATCCCAGCACAGGGGGCTAACAAGGGGCCGGGCTGTCTGAGCCCACCTTCTGAGGCCGCTTGTGAAGCACTGACCATCCCCACGAAGGCCCTCATGGCCACTCCTCCCATCCAGCCCACCCTGGAGTCACCTGGAGGCGCGCAGCGTGCTCCTGCTTGCGCTTCATGTCGTTAATGTACCAGGCAACTGCTGTCATGGACACGATAGCCTCCTCTACCATCTCGCGGCCCCCGGTGCCCGGGCCCTCAACCCAGTGCTTGCCCAGCTCCTGCCAGGCAGTCACCGGACGCCCAGGGAGGGGAACAGTAACAGAGAAAGAGAAAGAATGATAATAATAGAGACAGAGAGACATATAACGGTAGGGGCAGAGATGGAGATCCAGAGGCAAAGAGAGATAAACAGGAAGAGACAGAAAGTCCAATCAGCTGATGCCAGTCCCCACTGCCAACAAGACCCTACCCCAAGCACTGGCACAGTCTGTAGGGACCAAATGCCTCCCCAGACCTTCCCCAGTTCGTCCCTCTAGATCAGGGGTCCTCAAACTACGGCCCGCGGGCCACATGCAAATACAAATATTGTATTTGTTTCCGTTTTGTTTTTTTACTTCAAAATAAGATATGTGCAGTGTGCATAGGAATTTGTTCATAGTTTTTTTTAAACTATAGTC